CCGACCCCCCCGTTTGCTGAGCTGCTCCTCAGTTTTTCCTCTTCTTTTGTCGGAGCGACTGGTAAAACTTTGCTTTGAGCTGATTGGCTGCAGCCGGACGAAGACTCCGGCCTTTAAAGAACTACAAAAATGGAGTCTTCTGACTACAAACCAGGTACAGAGGACGGAAATGCCCCCCAGGACTCTGGCATTCCTCCTCTTTTGTGTTTCCCTGAGAGGGGAACGCGTCACCGCCACCACAAAGTCATCCAATCAGAAGCCTGGACTCCTGGTCCACAGACAGCCTCCGTTTGACCTCCGGCTTCTTTATTCTGTGGAGTTTTGTGCACAGATGATGTCAAAGAAACAGAAAGGAGCTGTTGAAGCTGAGATAAAACACACTCTGCTAGATTTAGTCTGTTTCAGATTAATATATTACAACAAACACTCTCTGACTTAGATTGGAAACAAGCTATAAAATCCTCTCAGTTCGAAAGCTCCAAGAAAAGACTCTAAACTTGGTCATTATTAGTCGAGAGTTCAGTAAAATGACGGAATATTATTGGTTTTGAAGTATTTATGTCTAACAAAAAGAGAGAGTATGAAAGCTTCATATTTAGATACAGTCTGCCCTGATTGGACAGCTGAGGTGGCCCTTCGGGGCCCGACCCAATCAGCTGCCACGCTGCGGATATTCGAACTGAGGGAGCCGGTTGATTGGACGCTGAGTTTGTGCATGAGTCATCACCGTTTTCAGTTGAACACAAAAACTCAAAGGTGGCGTTTGGTTTTGTTCATGTTTTTATGATTCTAACTCAGTTCAGGAGCTTCAGATTAAACCAGCCGTTCTCTAACACGCTGGACTGTTTCTGTTCTGATTTTCTGGATGTTTTACTTCTCTAAACTAACCGATCAAACATTTTGGTGCTCGTTTCTCTCATTCCAGACCAAATCCTGTCAGCCCAAATGGAAAAACCCGCTTTTAAAGAGTCCTTCCATTTGTTCTATTTCAGCCTGTTTGTTTTTCTTCTTCTTGAAAAACCCCAAATCATAAAAAGTGACCAAAAAAAGACCAAGTAGAAACCTAAACAACTTCTCAGCTTTAAAAGTGAAGACAATGCGTCATTCCAGCTTGAACATGGTTCCTCAGTTTTCCAGCGTTTGCTTCTGTTCTAAACTCGTCTTTAGAAGAAAAAACAAAACCAATGAAAGAAAAAATAAAGATGCGTTGGGATCCACATCTGAGATCTGCATCCAAATTTGACTTCATACTGGGATGTTTTTTCTTTTTTAAAATGATGTAGCAGCTAATATTCATATTTATTCATAATATGTCCAAATATTTTGTTTTTATCGTTTTGTAGCCGTTTCTTTTTTGTTTTATTTGAGCTAAGCTTTAGGACAGTATTATTTTGCATAAAGAGAAAAAATCAGTGACATTAAGATTTCCTCCCGCCTCCCTTAGTCTGTTCTGTTCATAGAGGTTTCTGTTGGCTAAAGCTCCACACCGTGATTCACATACTTAATAAGGGTCAGTTTTTTCCTTCCATGTAATTGAAAGTCAGTTTTATTTCTGTATTTTTCTGTATCAGAAGTTTTTTTTTCTCTTTTTCTCTTTGCTTCTCACTCATGCTGTTAATGTTGAAGATAATAAAGCACCAGAAATTTGAAGCTGTGTCTTCCCCTTCTGCTCGTGTCAAATAGGGAAATGAGGGCCCAGCATTCAGGGGGTTTATGCTCAAAAACAGAATTAAAGATTGTCTGGTCTTCAGATCTGACGTCAGAGAAAACATCTCAGACTCCTCTGGCATCGGTTTGTTATTTTATAAAACGTTTAATGTGGAAAGCTAGGGATTGTCTCCATAATATTTCTTAATCAGTCTTATTTTCACATTAAATCAGGTGACAAATACCTGGAATTAAAGCTCAAAGTTAGTGAGATCCACAGAAGTGAGGAGTGGTAAGTGAAGATATTAGTAATGTCGTACTTGTTTAAACTACTTTAATTTAAAGACAGAATAAACAAGCAGTCATCAACAAAACTAGAATGAAAAAATGAGAAAGATAATCATGGGAGGTTGGCGTTTGGGCTTTTGGGTGTGTATTCAGGAGGTTTTATGCACCAGAACAGAATGAATCAGATCTAGGCGGAACTAAGAGGAAGTAAATAATGGAGGAAGAGACTTTAAGAGGAGCCACTGATTAGAAAAGTTACTATGACTATGATTGGGTTTAGTGTTAATAAAATATCCATCACATGAACTTTTTCTCTTAAGATCCATTAAATATGGAAGGTCTCCGTTAGGATGGGCCTCGATTATCTGACCTTTAAATTATAGTAGGTCAGATTAAACCACAAATAGGAACAATATTCAGACCACAAAAAAACATTTAGTAGCTCTTTGCTCCCCTTTTTCTATGATCAAAGTATAAAGCTGATGTTTACCTTTAAAAATGAGGGTCAAACACCCCAAACTGTGGTCAGTTGTTTTGTACCAACAAGGCTGCTCAAAGAAGATTGCATCAAAAACTGCCAGTAATGATTTTACTATAAATATATTCAAAGATGGTGGTCATATAGCATAAAAATATAGAATATATAGAAAATAAAATATAAAAAATATCAATATGTATATTAAAAAAATAGAAATTACATATATATAACTGATTCCCCTGAACACTGATAAACGTTCAGAGAAAATGGAGGGACAGCCGTTGGTTTGGCCCCGCCCCCAGCTGTCCTCTATCACGTCCTCAGCCGAAACATATAGCCTGACCGTCCGCAGCTCAGACACACGTTGATTTTTGTGAACAGCATATTGAGACACAATGAGCGGCAGAGGAAAAGGAGGCAAAGGACTCGGTAAAGGAGGCGCTAAGCGCCACCGCAAAGTTCTCCGTGATAACATCCAGGGCATCACCAAACCCGCCATCCGCCGCCTGGCCCGCCGTGGCGGAGTCAAGCGTATCTCCGGCCTCATCTACGAGGAGACCCGCGGGGTGCTCAAGGTCTTCCTGGAGAACGTCATTCGGGACGCCGTCACCTACACCGAGCACGCCAAGAGGAAGACCGTGACCGCCATGGACGTGGTGTACGCGCTCAAGAGGCAGGGCCGCACTCTGTACGGTTTCGGAGGCTAAACCTTTCTCGGACCCCCACAACCCAAAGGCTCTTTTCAGAGCCGCCCACAACCACAAAGAGCTCTGATCTCTCTAATGCTAGAACACCGATAACGTGAATATAACTGAAAACGTTATAATTCTGCCATGCAACTACATGCTCACAACCCCAGTTTTAAAGCTACCAGAAAAGTTGTTTTATAACGTTAAGTACTACAATTTCAGCATTTTCTTGTTTGCCTAGCTTTAAACACTTTTGTACAAAATGGTTAAACATCAGCTGGATATTTAATTTAATATAAAACCGTACTAAACCTTCCATCCATTATAGTAACACCATATTCCCTAATGGGGTCTCAGAACTGGAGCCTATCCCAGTAGTCAACATTTGATTTTCCCCCACTATTAAACCATAGCAGAACCTCTACATACGACTTAAACTGGTTTCAGGAGCGACTTCTGTTAAATATTGGTATGTTGGTTCAAATCTTCCATCAGATTACACTAATTCCTAGAATTGGCTCCAAAAACCTAAATAAATTAAATACCTTAATAAATACTTTGCACATAGCAATAAAACAAATGACTTCTAGAAGAGAGATGGAAAAAGAAATAAATGATAAAGAAATAATCAATAAAAAGGGTTTTTATTGGCTCAGAGACTGAAGAACGGAGGTAGAGGTGGAGACTGAGATACAGGACCAACCCTAACTCACTCTGACTTTTACTACATGAGCTTTAAACCAATATAGACTAGTTATTTTAATTTAAATTTTATTTTTTTCTATGACTTAGACGTCATAAACCAACTTAGCGTATTTATTTTTATTCAATTTTTATATGTATTACATATTTTCTTACTATGACGCCGACGTCATCAACCAACATAGCTTATTTATTTGTATTTGATTTTTATATTTTTGTTTTTTTCTATTACTTTATTACTTTATTTTTTTTACCTTGTCCTGTTCAGCATTATGGTAGCAGAACTGAAATCTGAGTACCGTTTTATGCTGAACAAAATTGCTTTTCCAAGGGAGGCTTTGTTCGTGAGAAGCCCCCCTTGATTACCCAAAACTTCTTTATTGATTCATTTTTGTCACCAAACTTCCATGTGTCCAATAATGCCGAACCTGACAGGGGGGAGGGAAGAGTAATGGAAAGGAGAGAGAGATCCTTTAGAAAGGGAGAAAGGGGGGAGAGAAAAAACAAAAATAAAAACAGGAGAAAGAAAGACATCCTATCCTAACCCTAACCCGTACCTCTACCCCCCCACAGCTCCTTCGGTAGTCCCTCTACCTCTATCTCTTGCTGTCACCACTGACTCTGATCAGTGTTTCTCCTCTATATAGCTTATTGTCATAGTGATGATAAATGTAATGTTGTGTCTACTCTGTATGTCGCTTTGGAGAAAAGCGTCTGCCAAATGCACAAACATAAACATAAACACAACAAGACCATATGACCAGCTTTAAATAGATGGATGGATAAAAGGAAAGTGTCATGTGAACTAACTACATTAATCAGTTGTCTGTATCCACTGAAGCCCCATAATGTCACTGACATCTTTCCCTTTTTTAACCATACAAATATATCAGCACACAAATGCCTGGCTATGAATCTGTTGCAGGATCACTTATTTTCTGAGATAATACTGAATATTTCTGTTTTCATTTTAGTCTGTTTCTGTATCTGAGTCTGTCTGATGGTTCTTTATGAATCTGAACTTAATAAAAGTTGATCAAAGGACCTATAAGGATCCCACAGATGTATTATTTAATTCTCTTTTAGCTCTTTCTGAGGGGTCAAAGAGTTTGTCACAGAGTAGTTGATGTGTGAGTCTGGATTAGAAGGCTGTGTTCAATTCACATCTGGGAAAAGGTGTTTTCCAACTCCTCAATGTCCTCGGTAATATTTCTCCTAGTTGGAACTTTTCATAAACTGAATTCAGTTACATATAAAATCTTCTTTTCCTTATTCTTTTTTCATTTTCTTCCTCTCAGTTCAAACAGCAGCAGTCCCGGCTCACCCAATCACAGCCAGGGACTAACGGCCTTCCCGCCTCTCCGGCTCAGCCAATTACAGCCGGGGACTAACGGTCTTCCCGGCTCTCAGGCTCAGCCAATCACAGCCGGGTTACAGCGCAGCCACATTTCCATCCGGTCTGAATAAGAAGAGTCTCTGTGCTGTTAGCATCTCATTCGTAGCTGGAAGGTTCCGAACAACAAACATGCCTGAACCCGCCAAGTCTGCGCCCAAGAAGGGCTCCAAGAAAGCCGTGACCAAGACAGCCGGCAAAGGAGGCAAGAAGAAGAGAAAGACCAGGAAGGAGAGCTACGCCATCTACGTGTACAAGGTGCTGAAGCAGGTCCACCCCGACACCGGCATCTCCTCCAAGGCCATGAGCATCATGAACTCGTTCGTCAACGACATCTTTGAGCGCATCGCCGCCGAGGCTTCCCGCCTGGCTCACTACAACAAGCGCTCCACCATCACCTCCAGGGAGATCCAGACCGCCGTGCGCCTCCTGCTGCCCGGAGAGCTGGCCAAGCACGCCGTGTCCGAGGGCACCAAGGCCGTCACCAAGTACACCAGCTCCAAATGAGCAGCTCACCCCGCTGTTCACCCCCCAACGGCTCTTTTCAGAGCCAACCACAAACCAGAGGGCTAAGAACCTGCAGTCAGTCATTACTTCAATTGGATTTAAAGTTGATCAAAATTCAGGTTGATCAGAATACAGATTGAACTTGGACATATTAGGAAAATGAAGCAGATTGTTAACATGGTGTATCATTTAGAATCCTCTTACCATGTTTAGGAGCTCGGGCCTGTTAACTGGTGGCAGTTGTAGTTTAGACTATTGGACTGTTATGTTTATACATGGTGACCTACATTGTTCTGTTTTTAAATCCAAGACATTTCTAGTAAATCACGTAATGCAAGGCCAGAAGGAGGCCCAGAACCCTTTAGTTTCTTGGTTTCGACCATGTTTCTGGGTTTTTTCAGTCTGGTGTTTAGTAAGAAACCAAAACTTGTGTTTTTCTGTCAGTGTTTTATCTTCTGTTCTGATTCAGTGTTTCTGGGTTAATAAATGACTTAAAACCAAAGTGTTTAACCTCACTGAGTATTTCTGACCAACATTAAATGATCTGTGGAAAGGCTGCTTTAAGAAAAGCTTTTTCAGCTTCTAATCAGTCAGGTCACATTTCTGACTTTTGTCCTTCCCCCTTCCTTGTTAAACAGTTTTTGTGGGAGGACTCTATCCCAGTTTTGTTTCTCAGCTCTGGAAAGAGCAGAGATTTAAATGTTTTCATCTCTGATTAAAACTCTGCATTTCTTTTAAACAGATTCAAGGCTAATGAACAGGTTTATTTGTATTCTATATATGATTTATGTCATTTACATAATACAGAATTAAAGAAATGTTAGCAGATTGGTCCAAACTAATAAATCGAATCCAAACAAAAGAGTTTTTAATGGAAAATCCAGTTTAAGCTTCTCAATTCAAGAATTTTTTTTGTAACTAATTTTTCAATTTTTATTAATATGAAATAAGGTTTTTCCCAATAAAAGAACCCGGAAGCAGCGCCCGCCGAGCGGAGGCTGTTGGCGGGCTTTTTCAAACCGCTCAAAGCTCCAATGAGCGACGGGGGCGGTGCTATGATGGGGCGGGGCTACAGGGGCCGTTGTCCAATGAGCAGCCGGAGGCCCAGGCAGCGTCACCGCCCCCCGGCCGGTCCCGGCTTTAAATGCGGCGTCTCCGCTCTCCCGCTCATTCGCTGTCCTAGACTTTGAGTCCAGAAGTGAAAATGGCCAGAACCAAGCAGACCGCCCGTAAGTCCACCGGAGGCAAAGCCCCCCGGAAACAGCTCGCCACCAAGGCCGCCCGTAAGAGCGCCCCGGCCACCGGCGGCGTGAAGAAGCCCCACCGTTACCGGCCCGGCACCGTGGCTCTGCGGGAGATCCGCCGCTACCAGAAGTCCACCGAACTGCTGATCCGCAAGCTGCCCTTCCAGCGCCTGGTGAGGGAAATCGCGCAGGACTTCAAGACCGACCTGCGCTTCCAGAGCTCCGCCGTCATGGCTCTGCAGGAGGCCAGCGAGGCCTACCTGGTGGGGCTGTTCGAGGACACCAACCTGTGCGCCATCCACGCCAAGAGGGTCACCATCATGCCCAAAGACATCCAGCTGGCCCGCCGCATCCGCGGGGAGAGGGCCTAAACCCCTCCCCCTCCCAGCACCCCAACGGCTCTTTTCAGAGCCACCAACCCCCTCAAAGAGAGCTCAGCCCTCCATCTTGATTCTTCATTCTGCTGCTTTTCACTTAATCTGAGCAGAAACTTGTTCTGCCATCTTTAGTTCATATGTTTAGCTCCAATTACTGGCAGGCCTCATTTAAACTTGTAAACCTTGTATGTTATGTGCATTTAGCAGTTGTTTTTATCCAAAGCAACTCACATTGCAGACAATTTTTTTTTTTTCAATGCAAAACCTGCCTCCTGCATTCACTGATCCAGTTTACACACGTAACAGGATAAAATGTTATTTCATGAGCCCAAACTTAGACTAAACTCAATTAACAGAACAAAGAGTCCAATCCACTTTGACATGGCAAGTTTCTTATCTGTAGGAGCTGGGCTCCTTTCCCTTCACAAACTAAATATCCAGATAAATCTGGTCCAGCTCTGCTCAGTGAGTGCATTCACAGCTGATCATTTCAGCTTTTTTACAATAAAGTTTTGACTGTGTGGGTGACATCTGACAGACTTTGGGTGAGTCCAGGATGGTAAGAAATGCCCAGACTCAGTCCTCTGACCACATGGCCTCGTTTAGACAACACCTCCAGTAATGATGATTTTACAGATAAAGTCTGCCTTTCCTGTATTCAGGCCACATCTGATGAGTCAAAGTCTGAATCATGACCCTTTACAGTTGAATAATGTGTCCTTCTTTCCACATTTGCTGGCAGCAGAGGGTTGATTTAAGGAGAAATTAAATATATCTATATGCCAGTGACAGGCATTTAACAGAAACCAGGTAGATTAAACCAGATATGTATGTGTATATGTTGTTTTTGTATATCTGGAGTGTGTAATTATTAAAGTATTTCTGATTCATCTCTGCTGCCATCAAACTTTACAATGCTGAACTATAACTGCAATAACTTAATAGATAATACCTTGTGAAATAATGCTGTTAAATAGGAGACTTCGGCTGATTATAAAGGCTGAATTTCTCCACTGTGAGATCAATAAAGTCTATCTTATCTTATTTCCTAATTTAGTAAGATGATCATAAATTAACCTTTCAGCTCCCATAAGGCCACAGAAATGTGGTCTGGGTCCAGTTTTTAGGACACATTCTTCAGGGTGAAATTAGGATAAATGACAGAATAAACCACAGATTGCTGCAGAAAGAACGCAAATCTAGAAAATAACATCCGTAAAACACGTCAGAGAATATGTCATTTATATAAAGGGAAATGTGCAGCTTTATTGAATTATTGTTGGTAAAAATGACAGTATAGTCAGAGATAAACAAAGTGGAAGATTTTCTGATGTGTTTCTTTGTTTCTTACTCAAACGGCTCAGAAACTGGATTTAAGCTTCATTTTTGCTCTTATGTGTCACTGAATTGAATCCAAAACCCAAATAAAGCCCAAATTCATCTGAGATTAAGAATGTCAGGCTTTTCTGCTTGTTTGGGTACATGTGGATTCAATAGATGGTTGAAATGGGTATTTTTAACCTTTCAGGCTCAAACTTCCTCTCATAGATTTGTGCTTAAACCGAAAGGATTTTGCTCGTTTCTCTCGGCTTCTCCCGGACAGAATTCAGGAGGCTTTTTGGTCGTTTCCAGCCCGGTTTGCAGGGTTTTGAGTCCATTTGCGGATCGATCTGCGTCCAGAGGATCCGGAGGGCCGATCCTGAGGATCCTCCGGCAGGAACATCCGGCCCGGGCAGTGGCGGCGTCCCTGTGTTTACTTCCAGCCAAAACGGGCTCCGTTAGACCCCGGGAACCGGAGCAGCGCCGCCGTTTCCCCCCGGTTCTGTCCGCAGATGTCTCCGCTAACTGGGCCGCGGCCGTTCCAGCCACCGGAAGCGGCTTTTACCGCTTTTAGGAGGCCAAATGTGGAGAAAACTCGCTGCGAGTTGCTCCAAACGGCCGCGTTTCGGAGCGGTTTGAAGCCTCCCGGAGCGAAGCGGAAAAGTCCCGGAAACCGGACAGGAGTTCAGGTCGGAGGCCGGAGGGTCCGCTCCCCGTCCCGGGGCGGGTCGAGGCGGGACGCGGCGGTTTTGGGGGGATTTTTGGGCGGAAAGCTGGCGGAGAAAACACAAGTGTGTCCGGCCGGGAGGCGGCGGCGGCGCGCGCGGCGCGTTGCCTCTCCACGGTTCTCATGTGCCTTATAACTGCCGCCTCGCGCTCTGAGCTCCACACGTTGAGTCTCAGAGCGAAGCGAAGCAAACATGGCAGAAGAAGCTCCCGCAGCCGCACCGGCCAAAGCCCCGGCCAAGGCCCCGGCAAAGGCCCCCAAGAAGAAGGCCGCCGCCCCCAAGGCAAAGGCGGACGGACCCAGCCTCCCCAAGCTGGTGGTGGCCGCCGTGGCCGAGTCCAAGGAGCGGAAGGGCATGTCTCTGGCGGCGCTGAAGAAGGTGCTGGCCGCGAAGGGCGTGGACGTGACCAAGGCCAACAAGCGGATCAACACCGCCGTCACCAAGCTGGTCACCAAAGGCACCCTGAGCCAGACCAAGGGCACCGGGGCCTCCGGCTCCTTCAAGCTGGCCAAGGAGCCCAAAGCCGCCAAGCCCGTCAAGAAGGTGGTGAAGAAGAAGGCTCCCGCCAAAGCCAAGAAGCCCGTTGCCGCCGCCAAGAAGGCGACCCCCAAGAAGGCTGCCCCCAAGAAGGCCGCCCCCAAGAAGTCCCCCAAGAAGGCTCCAGCCAAGAAACCGGCCAAAAAGGTGGTCAAGAAGAGCCCCAAGAAGGCCCCCGCCAAGAAGCCCAAAGCGGCCGCAAAGAAGCCGGCAGCAAAGAAAACTGCCGCCAAGAAACCGGCAGCCAAGAAGGCCAAGAAGTAAAGGCCCCCCCTAAAAAACACCAACGGCTCTTCTAAGAGCCACCACAGCTACCTAAAGAGCAGGTCCTTATTTGTTAATAGTATATTTATTTAAGAATTTGTACTATATTTTTTAAGATTTTTATTTGTAAAATAAATTGGCTTGGAAAAAAGCTGAAAAAGTTGAAAAAACGTTTTTGATTTATTTTTCTCTTGGACAAAGAAACATGAGAATTTAACAGTAAATTTAGATGAATTTTAAAATTTCATATTGAAAACAGTCATTTAAGCTTAATTAACTGTGAAAACTAATAAATTTAGTGTATTTTTTTGCCTGGAAAACTGAAAAAGTAAAAGCTCCACATCGCTTGCTGTATAACTATGCATAAGACATTTGAAAGTGGAAAGAAATTTTAAACGGTTCAGAAAGTGGACTTTCTTCCACTGATCTGATTTCAGCTTTGACATATATATTCTATGTTTTAGTATATAATTTATACTAGATTTATATATATATATAGAGATACACATATATACATCTAATGTATATATAATTTAGACTACAACTACAAAGTTTTACAGTCCATGTCTTTTTTTAACAATCTCAAATCTGAAAATCCAGCAGAAAAATGAAATAAAACTTGAAATAAAAACTAAAGTCAGTTATTTAGCCTAGATGTGGTTGGTGTTCATGTTTTATTAGGATCATATGCAACAGAAAATATATATATGTAAATTGTATACATTATATGAATTCCTGTATTCAACAGAAGTCAGGGTATAAACAGTTCAAATATAGTTAAAAATGCCAAAAGTGGACTTCTAGAAATCATAGATATGTTGTGTAGTTTTTAAAATGTGGTGTACATTTTTCAATAAATAAGGTGCATTTGTGTTTTCTGTTCTCCACAAGTTGATGTGGTCAGTTACATGGGGTGGCCACAAGGCGGCAGTGTGGTCCAATTGTCCACATGTAAATCAGATTTAATCGAACATAACTGAACCGTCAGATTCTAATATGTAATAGTTTTGGCCCAGCAGACAAAATAGTGGTTACTTATGAACCGTGGCAGGAATATAAAAACATCAGTAACATTTTAATAAGTTAATACATTTTAATTCTTTCTAGTGAGTTTTATAAAATAGACAGGTCAGAGCTCTTTGTGGTGGTGGGCGGCTCTGAAAAGAGCCTTTGGGTGGTGGGGGTTAGTCCGGGTTGAGTTTAGCCTCCGAAACCGTACAGAGTGCGGCCCTGCCTCTTGAGCGCGTACACCACGTCCATGGCGGTCACGGTCTTCCTCTTGGCGTGCTCGGTGTAGGTGACGGCGTCCCGGATGACGTTCTCCAGGAAGACCTTGAGCACCCCGCGGGTCTCCTCGTAGATGAGGCCGGAGATACGCTTGACTCCGCCACGGCGGGCCAGGCGGCGGATGGCGGGTTTGGTGATGCCCTGGATGTTATCGCGGAGCACTTTCCTGTGACGCTTAGCGCCTCCTTTCCCGAGTCCTTTGCCTCCCTTTCCTCTACCGCTCATTGTGTCTGAGTCTGCTGGTCACAAAGATCAACTTGAATCTGAACTGCGTACTGTCAAGGTTTATATCAAAGCTCCGGACGTGAGAGAGGACAGCTGGGGGCGGGGCCAAACCAACGGCTCTTCCTCCGTTATTTACATCCTCTTATGAAATAGATGTTTATTAATGAATAAGTGGCGCTAGTTTGAATAATTTAATTTTATTGAATAAAATATGTATATTTGTAAATCATAAAGGCTCACAGTAAACAATATTTATCTCAGCTTTATTGAAATTACCAAATATGGACCCAGTTAAGATGTTTGATAGAAAACTTAAACTTTTTTGTTTATTCGTAAAAAAAGGTCTTGAATTGAAAAAAAAACAATACTAAAAAATAACTGCTAAGGATTTTTAATACAGAAAATATTAAGTCATTGACTGAGCCATGATTTAGATCTACATAGTTTTATACATACTATAGTACATCTTGTCATTACTAAAAGGAAAGACAGAAAATATGTGATGTTTTTATGTTGTTATTGTTTTATGTTTGTATGCTGATGCTCCTGTTCTCATGTTTCTTATTCACAGAGAGGTCAACTAGAGGAAAAAGGGTGTACAAATTGTGCATTTAAGAAATACGGTGTGAAATAATCTCCTTTTAGTCATATCAGATGAACCCGATTGTTCTGTGCTACAGATAATGAATGGTGTTCTTTAAATGTTAATTCAATTGGTTTTAAAGTGTGATGGCAATTGTCCCTTCAACTACCTGAAAAATTGGATAAGGCAAAACACCAAAAACATTTTTCTTCCTTAATTTGTAAATACATTTATTTTAAAAAACACAGCTTATATTGCAAAGAAGCAGAATTTGACAAAATATCAAAATAAAGTCAAATTAGATTAAATGTTCCGCGTAAAGAAAGTCATTCAAAGAAGAAATTTTGAGGAAGCTAATTAACCGAGAAATAAAAGATTTCTTTCAAAATGAGACTTTTGATTTATGGTATGAGAATTTATTAATTAATCTTAGAAAATGGAAAGAATTATAAAAAAAAAAAATCAAAACCAAAATGAATTTATTTTACAATTCTTAGATGAACAATTCTAGACAAAAACAATTAAAATATTTTTAGAGCTAAAGTACGTAAAGAGATAAAATACGTAAAGAGATAAAATACATAAAATTAGTAATCATGAAATGTTTTTAACCAGACACTGTTTCTTTTAATCAGTGAAACTTTGACAGTTGGGATCTTGAGGGGACATCTTTGTGGGGCTCTGGCCCTCGGAGCTTCCCTGCTGGCCCAGCTGCCGATAGAGCTGGATGGTCATGAGCTGAACATCAGGGTCTCCTGGTTTGATGTCGATGGCTTTCAGGAGGAACTCCAGGGCCTCCTGCAGCTTGCCCAGGCTGCAACACTCCTTCCCTCTTCTGACCAGCGAGTCGTAGACCTCCGAGTTGAAGGCCGGCTCAGGGTTTCCAGTTGATGAGAGGCAGAAGTCCTGATTCTGATGCCTCAGAGAGATCCTCCTGCTGCTCCTCCTCAGTTGCCTCCCCACCCTCCTCCTCCACTGCAGTCCAATCACCTTCGTCGTTCTCCTTCTTGTCTTCCTTGTCTGTCTTCCCCTCTCCTCTGCAGAGGTATCCCAAACATCTCCTGACTTCTCTTCTTTCCTATTCTGTTCCTCTTTCTCAGAATCTATCTCTGAAAAGTAAACCTCCTCCACATCCCCGATGGACTGGAAGGACTGGATCAGGGGCCGGCGTGAGACCACAGAGCTGGTTCCATCCACGCTCATCCTGCAGTGGTCAGGGGAAGAACCAGAGGGTGTCAGTCTGGCTGTGGATGTTCCTGGAAACTGGAAAAAGCTTTCGGGCACATGGCTCAGTTGCTGTTCTTCTTCTCTGCTGTAAATCCCGGCCGTGTTGGACCCAGTCCTAGACCTGCTGAGGTTCTGTCTGTGCAGACTCTCTGACAGAGACCTGTAGACGTCAAAGCTGCCGTTCATCTGAAGCTGGGACAGCAGCTTCTGTTGCTCCTCTTCAGTCTCAGACTCTGCAAAAAAATCACCCTGGCCATCTTTAAAGTTTTCATCAAACAATTCAGGTTCAGGGCTCATTTTGTGGGATTCTCCTCTGAATCGTGAGTCGGACTGCCGCGGGATGGAAACCCTTTTGTGTTTCAAGTCCATCTCAGAGAGGGAAGTTTCACACAAACCCTGGTCGTTGTCATCTGCTGTGACATAAAACAGGCTTCTGTCGTTCCCCGAAGAGCTTTCCGATTGGTCCAGCCGCTCCCTGGAACCAGACTGGTCTAAAAAGTTGTTGTCAGGCAGTGAAAGGGAGGGACGAGGTCCTGGATCTGTGGGATTCCATTCATAGGACGTCTCTTTGCTGTTGGCGGATGGTTCTGTGCTCTCGGCCAGCTGAAAACCAAGACAAGTTTTAACTGAAGGACACCTACTAATTCTTTAAGGCAAGTTCAACCAGCTAACTCGTTTCGATATATGTAACTGAGTATCATCGGTGTATGGATATTTATGCCACTAGGGAAAAGAACCAGTCCCAGTACAGAACCCTAAAGAGCTTCATGACTACTACTACTACTACTACTACTACTACTACTACTACCACTACTACTACTACTACTATTAATAATAATAATAATAGTAATACATTTCATTTGGAGGCGCCTTTCAAATCACCAAAGGTCACCTTACAAACAAAAGCTGGAAAGATTAAAAAAAATATTAAAACAATATTAAAACGAGTCAACGATAGATAGATAGATAGATAGATAGATAGATAGATAGATAGATAGATAGATAGATAGATAGATAGATAGATAGATAGATAGATACATACATACATACATACATACATACATACATACATACAT